CCGTAAACTAACCCTGGCTTTTATCACTGAAACTGGAATTATCTTTTCTCAGGGGTCTTCATTCATATCCAGTTCTTCAGGAAAGCATTCCCAAAAGGTTCAAATACCTTGAAGAAATATTATTTCTTCAACATTAAGCATAATATTCCTTTGAAGGGAACCGGTGTCATGGAACCATGTGTCTAGACTTCCATGGCTTCTACTACCCATGGTTACTGCTGCCGTTTCTTTGAGTGTGTTGCTTTTGCTGAAGTAGAAGAGGATTTTGAGAATTTTGAAGTCCTCTAGCTGTCAGGTTCCAGCTAACGCAGATGATCCTTCCAAGGATAGTAGGAGAATTCTTACAGATGATAGTGGATGATAGTGCATAACTGAATGCCAGAACCTTCTGGGATGGCCCCGAGAGACCCAGAGTGCAGATGTAGTCCACTCTATGAAGGAAGTGACCACATAACTGTCAGGGAGGTGCTCAACCTAGTGCTTTTTCTGTACCACGATATTACCCTGTGATCATTATAGCCCAAGCAAAATATTCAACAGGTTACGCAGGGATTTTCAGTAACTGCATACCACATAACATCATCTACTATGTCTAAACCAATAAAACCTGTTTTAAGACTAGGGACAGATTATTGTAATCTGAGGAACTGTTGTTTTGGGCTTTTGCCCTGAATTTAATTTAGTGACTTCTGGTGTGGAAAGAGTCTCCCAAACTTGGAAAACAGCAAAAACAGTTTTAAAAAGTTAATCAGTTAAATCTTGATTATTATTGGAAATGAAAATGACAGTCTTACATAGATAACTAAAATCAATAAGTCAAATATCATCTTTTTTGAAATTCAAATTCCTTTATTTCTGTGAACTTTTAGAAAAGTAGATGTACTGCATATGAGTTTTAGTTTTACCTCCATTGTCTTCTGTTAGGCAAATTCAACAGAAAAGGGCCTCAATCAGTAGAGTATAGTCATCTAACGTGGCCATTTGGAAGTATTCAGATTTGTGAGGTCCATGAAAGAAAGAGGAAGAAAGGACAGTCCTAGCAGATCAAATAAAAATGATGAAAGGGAAAGGGAGATTTTTAACCTTACTTCCAAATATCCCTATGGGTTTGGGATGTGCTCATTTAAGGGAATATGGGGAACAGTTTTCAAGTTAGAGGGTCTCCTGAAGGGCCACTATCACGCATACCTTACTGTACGTTGATCACTTCTGGTTCAGATGGGGAGCAGGAGGTCTTTAGGAACATTCAGGAATATGCAAAGGAGGATGAGCACAGGTTGGAAAGGAAAGTGACGTGGGAGAAACAGTTAATAACTGAGAACTGAGGTGTCTTACCTTCTTATGAAGGAAGATTCATTATGATTCATAGGAATTGTAATTTGCCTCTGTGAATTTATTCTTTCACTAAACATAATATATACAGAATATTATAATACTGTGGGCAATACAAAAATGAGTAAAGCAGTGTTTAGCCTTATGGAATTTAAAGTATATTTTAGAGATAATACATGTACTTTAAAACTACAATGCAAAATATGAGAAATGCTTTAGAGGAGGAACAAAGAAATTCAAAAAGATTTTGAATGGAGAGGAAATTTATCTGGGACAAGAAAAGTATTCTTGGTAGAGGTGATATTTGGACTAGATCTCGTAGAGTGAAGAGAATATTGCATGACCAGAGGGGAGAATGTATTCAGGGAATGAAGTGTAACATCCAGTGTTACAGGAGCACTGAGCACAAGCAAAACAAAAAGTCTGTTGGTTGTTGGCAGATTGTACAGCGACTTAAAAGCTATGGCAACATGGATTTAGACTATTTGTTGGGCAAAGGGGAAACCAGTGAAGATTTGAGTGCATGGGAACAATATTATTGAATAGCGTCATAACTGAGCTGCAGTTTGCTAAATGGATAGAGTGGGGAGAGGCTGAAGGTGGAGAGAGCAGTAGGAATAGGTGAGATAATAACAATATGGTGTTCATAATTGTGGGCTATTATTCTAGAATGTTCTATGGGCACTGCAGGTCATGGCCCACTAGGTTTTGAAATGAATTTACTTGGTGGGGCAAGCATTATAAAAAACTGAAATAGAATAGAATAGAAAATATTGGGTTTTATTGCACTCAGTAAGATAAATATTGTTTGATGAAACTTCTCGTTCAGTTTTTAATATTTTAACATATATGTATTTTGTTATGTTTTTATGGAGCTGTGTTGTGAAATATATTTTCTACTGTGATTGTGGTCAAGATAGAGAAACTCTCCTAGAGGATGTATTTATAAAAGCCTACCTTCAAAGTAATGGTTAATGGCACTCCATGAATATACTCTACCTAGTTTAGGCAAGGGTATGAGACAAATCCTTCAAGCATCTCCTTGTGTACAAGGAGATCAGTCTGTATTTGAAATAGCCACTGTCTTATTCTGCTACTTCTTTCAGAAAGATGATAGTGAATGTTCAGTTTGATCAGGAGACCATAATTTTTGAATACTCAGTGTCATAATTTTGAGATATCTCATGCTTATCTTTTTTTTGAGATTTTATTTATTCATTTATTTTAGAGAGAGGGAGAGAGAGAGAATGGGGGAAGGGAGAGAGAGAGAGAGAATCTCAAGCAGACCAAGAGTAGCATGCTTAACCGACTGAGCCACCCAGGTGGCTTGCATTTCCCATCTCTTGCATTTCTAAAAAAGATCAGATGCTTTCAGAGCAATAGTTCTCAACAGGGGACATTTGTCAATGTGTGGAGATATTTTTGGTTATCACAATAACCAAAATGACCCAAAATAGTTATTTAAAAGAAGTGCAATCCCTAACAGTAGTTGTAAAATTCATGCTAAGATTTGGCCTAACACAGATTCAGTGATATTATTTGTAGAATGCTCTGATCATCAACTTTATTTTTAGATTTAAAATGATATATCAGTACTTGCTTATATGTGAACAAGAATGAAATGGTGCATGGAACAGTTTAGCAATACAAAGTTTATAACTCTAGGATCATTTCTTGAATCTTAACATTAAAAGTCAGAATTATATCTTACCACCATCATATCAACTGATTTATAAGCCTATGTGTATTTTTATATGTGAAGAAGCAACTTTATCTTGAAATGAGTTCAGAGAATTGGCAGCCAGCTGCCCAAGTGAATCACATCACTGAAAATTCTTATCTTAAGATCTTGTTTTCTAATTTAAAATAGATTCAATAGAAGTCACTGAAATTCTTATAGATCTGATTATTTAGTAAATAGAGGTGATCAGAAAGGGACTTTGTAAGGGAAAGGGCATGTGAAATTGGTACCTGGGTTCTAGGCCCACTGGGGATACAAACTACCTATAGGTTCACCAAGTCATTTACAGCTCCCAGCTTCAGCTATCTGAACCATAGGTGTGTTGGCCTGCATGACTTGCAGTCTTTCCTAAGCTTTAAAATTCTGTGGGTCTAGGTTATGGATATTTTTTTGTGAGTATGAATAAATTGTTAGTGTCTTTTAGATTATTGTAGGATTATTTTCATGCCTTATCAATAGCCCACAGGGAGACATTGTTATAAAGTAACTCAATTTTTTCAATGGTTTGGCTTATACTTGGACTATATGAATAAATGACACCCTGACCATAAGCCTGATGTTTAGCTGACATTGTCACAGAGTAACTGTTTCTACAAAGCCTTCATTTAATTGTATCATGGAATACACAAGCCTGACTCTCCTAGTATCTTCGGGAGACACTTTACTTTGGGGGTACATTTGGTTTTTCAGATCACTTTGGTCATGTGTTCTGTGTTAGGTCCTTAAAATTTGTATTTATTAAAATTTTTTTATTTTTATTTTTTAAGATTTTATTTATTTGACAGAGACACAGCAAGAGAGGGACCACAAGCAGAGGGAGTGGGAGAGGGAGAAGCAGGCTTCCCGCCGAGCAGGGAGCCCGACCCGAGCTGAAGGCAGCTGCTTAACGACTGAGCCACCCAGGTGCCCCGATTAAAATTTTTTTTTAACTAGTGTTTCATGGTTGCAATAGTTAGGCTACTGACACAAGCTTTAAGAGATAATTAGCTGCAGCAATTCAGAGGTATGAATGTTTCTTTCTATGTAGAAAGACAAAGCTCATTGATTATTCAACATATTAGCAAATTCTCAATTTGACCTTATAGAAAGGTACAGAGCCACGTCCCGGTGGTTCAAACATATAAATGCATCTGTGAAATGTCAAATTTTTGTGCCATTGTTTTGTAATGACTCATGAAGTTACCATCATCTTCCCCCAGTTTTTGTAAACAAAGATACATTTTGATTAGCTAATTATATTATGTATATTCATTTATTAATCAGGATTTCTCTGGATATATAAATCAGTATTTCTCTTTCTCTAGTGTTTGTGTTTTAAAAAATCACCAAAAAATTAGGGAGATTTCACAACAGAGAAAGGTTAGAAGATCTCTGGCTTGATTTATCATCATAGTTTGTTTCCTAGATATAACTTTTTTTTCAAGGATCCTTGCAAAGGGTTTATAAGTAGAAAATGTATTATGGTAAAAAAATCTCTTTGGAAAACTTGGAATAATAAGGAAAAATTTTAAAAAAGTATTGGTGAGCTCAGGAGAAATGATAAGGAATTGTATAAGGTTTTCCTGAACTCTTTAAGAGATTAAAAACTTTCTCACTTAAGGGGACCTTCTTGACAAAGACATTCTAAAAATCATGGATTATTTTCAAAATTTGCATTACACCTCTTTTACACTCCAACTTGCATGATGTAAAGAACTGAGTGTCTCGGCTGTATTCTTCCTGTCAGGCTAAACTGACCCACTACTTTACAAATTTATAAGGATTTAAATTCCTTTTAAATTGGCTATGGGTTATTGCTTGATAGAAGTGATTCTAAAACAAATAATGTCATTTAATCTCACTTTATTATACTACATTCACTGAATATTTAAATTTTCATACATGTATTGCCCCCTTACTGATATCAATATTTAACTTTTACAGTGATTTAGAGGCCTGTTTTTGAAGTGATCCAGTTTCGGTAATAAACCACATTTGTGTAGACTCCAGGTTTGTTCTTTTGACCACAGTTATCTCCCCAGCTCACAATTCCAATGAGATACCAGGTATCTTTAAGATCCTTTACAACTAAAGGTCCCCCAGAATCACCCTGAAAATAAAAGAAAGAAAATTAGCTAAATATAAAGCTTATTACTTAAAATATTCGATGAACCACATATTTTATTATTCGATAGCATATGTGTTGATTACCAACTATAGAATAATTAATTGAAACATAGATTTCAAAAGCTATAAAAGCTTTAAATTTCAATTTCCACATTTTAATTTTTTCAGCTTTATAGACATATAATTGACAAATAAAATTGTGTATATTTAAAGTGTACAAACATATTTAACATACAGATACTTTGTGAAATGATTACAACAATCAGTTAATTAACACATCTATCACCTCAAACAGTTACTCTGTGTGTGTGTGTGTGTGTGTGTGTGTGTGTGTGTGTGTGTGTGTGTTAAGAATGACTAAGGTCTACTGGCAAATTTCAAGTACACAAACAGAAAGTCTAGCTGGTGTTGGTTTTTTTCTGACTCCAAACAGGGTGCTTGGACCTCGGTTTTACTGGACAGACTAAACCCCTCACCATGAGCCTCAGTTATAATCACTGTATTCCTGTCTTGGACCGTGTCCCTGAGCCACTTTCTTGATATTCTCCCCAATTTTTCTATGGCTAGAGCTTTGTCTTACCACTCACTTGTGCAGTCACGAAGCAGGAATCTTACTTCTGCTCCCCAATTCAGTGAAATCTCTTTATGACCACCTCCTTCCCAAGGCATATCACTGATCTCACCATTTGCCTAGATTCCCATGTGCTATCTGCAAATGGACTCGTGTCACCACTTTCCCCTTGTCCATCATGGCTTGGACCTCTCTGTGCATTCCCTGAATTCTAGCTGCCTTCCTCCACATTCTCAGCAACTGAGGCTGGATATGTACCAGATTCTGCTCTTGCCCAGCCTATAGGTTACAAAACTCCTTGCTCTTTTCTGACAGAAGTTTATGTGTGTAATTTGTGAGTCTCTGGGCAGAGTTTTCTGTCACCCAATATCAAAACAATTTTGATATTTCACCATTTGATACTTGATATGTCATCTCCTTGGAGTTTTCAAGAATCTCATGTTATAAACCAAGTACGTCCAGGAAGAAATACACTTTCTACCTTTGTTAGAAAACATACATGCAGGATAGCTATTGGACAGCAGAGGAAGGCACTGGAAAGGGCACCAGGTAGTCCCAACATGGTCTGATCCACCCTCTCAATTAGCGTAACAGCCTCTCCTTCTCCTTATGCTGAGACCCAACAAATTACTTGGGATTCCCTCAAATATGAATTTTAATTTCACACCTTCCTAATTTTTGCTATGCTCTTTCTATATGTAGAAAAATAATACTGTTCTCTTATTCTATAACTGGGTAGGAGCCATTTACCCTCAGGTCTCATATCCTTCAGTATGATCTCTCTGATACTTGCTGAAAAATGTTCCCTTCATGCTAAAAATATTTGTTATCCCTTATATCATTTGAAACATCTCATCATAGTTCATTGCTCATGATTATTTACTTTCTAGATGAGAGCACTTTAAGAAAAGGGACTCTGCTTTATGAACCTTTGGACTTCTGGTATTAAGAAAATTTAATTTTGTTGGTTAGTTTGTTTTATAGCATCAAAGAAACTGTTTATAACATTTTGCTTAATAAAACATCTAAAAATGTTTTTGTTGTGAAATCTGCATTTAGAAATTATTGAACTGACAAGATATCTGTATTGGTACTACCATAAAGAACATAGAATATTTCTTGAAAGAGATAAAAATGTTTTGGGTTAATGATATTAAAATAATCCCTCTCCACCTACCCTGCAGGCATCATAAATTCCTTCCAGATATCCAGCACAAAACATTCCAGATTTTATATCATGGCCATATACATGTGGTTGCTTGCACACATCATCACTTATGATTTTCAGTTTGGCTTCTCGAAGATTATTTTGGGATTCCCCTTCAGGGAAAACAAAGTCAGGTTAGTGTTTACAATCAACATCCTTAGCTAGAATGAAGTGAGTGGAATTTTTTTCCCAATCTAATCTATTTCATACTAAAATTGTCAATACGGAATGAGATTGAGGTAAGCAGTTTCTAGAGAATAAATTCCCCTTTAAAATCTGGCACATTTAAATGATAATTATTATCCTTTATCACATTTTATAAATACCTATACTAGGAAGAAAAACATTTCCCAGAGTTAAGCAAACTCTCTTGCTGTTATCATATGTATGTACCTACACTAGATTTTATGATCCAGAGTGTATCTAAGTATGACCAAAAACATTCAAAAACAAAATCATTTTTATTTATTAGAAGTTTAAGTTAGTATATCAAGTTAAATCATTTTAGAGAGGGCCATGGAAGCTTTGTTATCAGAGACTATCTCTACACAGATATCTACTGTTCTATCTACTGTTATCAGAGACTATCTCTACACTGAATCTACTGTTCTTGATCCCTTTTAAGTTAACCTCTGTAGTTCTGCAGCAGATTTTGCTGCAACTGGACATTGTAAGCTGAGAAATGGGAAAACTTGTAAGGTGACTGAGGAAGGTGAAAATGAGTAGTGGAGCAAACCAAGGGGAGGAGGAGATGAAAAGGGTCAAGGGAGGCTCACAAAGATGGGGCATAGAGGGAGGGAGTCTTGGAGTGAAGGTGGGCATGAGGTTGACAGCACACCTGATGAACACCTGGCATTGCATAGAGGAGAGCACATAGACTCTAGTGTTGCTGAGGGAACATTGCTCTTTCATGTCTTCCTTGAAGCCCACCCTTTTGGAACTGCCTCTCCCTTTTTCCATGTGATTCTGACCAGCCTGTCTATCACACATCTGCCTTTCTTGGTATAGACACAGGAATGAGTGTTTGAGTTAACCAGTCAACCCAAGTACCCCTGGACGCAAACAGGTCCAAAAGAGACCTTTTCAGGGATTAACGTAGATTCTGGCAAAGAGGGCAGGTTCTTCCCTCTGCAGCTACTAGGGGAAGATGATGTAAACCCTGATGTTGTTGGCCACCTTTGACACTATGTGGAGCTAGAATCCCTCCATATGAAGGCAACCTCAGGGAAAACAGAGCCAGAAATGGGAAGATTCAGAGATTCAGAATCAAATGACATCATACTTCATACTCCTGAATCCAGCTATGTCTGAAACCAGACTCTTCTCATCTTTCTTGACTTCTAAATTACAAGGGCAAAGTTTGCCATTTTCTTATTATTTTTGCTTTAATAAGAGTTGAGTTTCTGTCACTTACAAAATAAGAGCTCTAACTAATCCAACCAAACTGTGTGGAAATGGCTGGCAGGATAATATTGATGGAGATTAAATCACACTGTCCTAAATTGGACATAGTGCTCTGTGGTCCTTTTTGAAATACCTACCACCATAGAAGAGTGCTCCAAATCCTGTGATATAGACAGTGGAATTTGGTTGGAAGGATGCAGAGGCTTCTGGCAGACAAACCCGGCGGATGTCATCAGTAAAGGTGACCCTGGGAGAGAACTGCACGACAGCAATGTCGTATTCTCTTGCTGGAGAGTGATATCTTTCATGGACAATAATTCTTCTGACATTTCTTTTCATTAGTGGAGGGTTGATTGTTGTCCCAAAGCTAACAGTCCATTGACGTGGATTTGCATTACTGGAAAAGGTTAGAAATGAACAGAATATATAAACTGCACTATAATAATTGCATAAAGGTTAATAAAAAACTCCATCTTAAAAATATTTGGCTGTAATGATAGTTTCCTTTGACCTTTAAATATAGTTTATTGCTATTTTGAAAGATAAACTGTGTACAAACAATATCTTAGAGCTGAAATCCAAAAAAGAATTATTGAATTCTAGAACTGTAAAGCATATAAACTATCATTCATTTATCTCTTCAACAAATATTTATTGAAATTCTACATGGTGAGTCTTATTTGAAGTGTTGGGGTTAAAGTTGTGAACCAGACAGAAAAAGTGCCTGCTGCAGGCTGTATTCAATTCCAGTGAAGGAAAAAGAACAAAACAAATTAACATTAAATAAATCCAAGCAGTAATAATGGTTATGAATAAAATAAAATAGAGTAATTGAATAGAGTATGGGGGGTAGGTAGATAATTCTCTTTTGAGACTATGGTGTTTAGACTGAGACATGATTGATGAGGAGCCAGCTGTGAGAAGACAGGGAGACAAGTTTCCAGAACAACTTCCCAAGGTCTTACACCAGATGGGCTACAGTTCAAGACACAAGGGAAGAACAGTGGGGCATGAAGGTAGGCAGGAACCAGATTTTAGAGTGTCTTATAGGTCATGAATAAAGGGTTTAGGTTTTATTCAAGTGATATGGGAATTCCTTGGATAATTTTAAGCCATGAGTAATGTAGTTTCATGTACATTTTAAAAAAATCACATAGCTTCTTTCTGGAGAATAGATTCCTGGAGGGCAAGAATTAACAAGGTAAAAGTTGTCAGAAGTCTTGTGAAAGATGACCAACTGTGGGTGACTTCCAGCTTGTGGGTGACTTCTAGCTTGTGGGCTTGAGCAACTGGTGGATCATGGTACGTATAGAGATTGGAAAGGTCATCTAGTAATAAAAGATCATCTAGTAAAGCCTTTGTTTTATACTTAAGGAAAATAAAGTCTAGATGGGTTAAACTATTTGCCTAGTATCACGTCTGCTTGCCTCTCTTTGCTCTTCTCTTTATTGGACATGGTTTCCCATCAAAATCTATTTATTAGTAGCAAGATTAGTGTCCTTAACTAAATAACTGAACTAACATCATCCATGAGGGATAAGCAGAGACAGATACTGCTCACATGGGTACTTGTTTCTCAACCTAATTATTTCTTAATAGGTAGCTTTGGTTAGAGAAAGAAGCATATAAACATATAACGGGGTTTAAGTCCAATTTGACAGCTGTAATTGTGCTGGGATTATTATTTTTTTCTCTAAGGCAACTTAAAATTTAAAACTGAAATTGTGTTTTTATACACAATTTTGATGTGCAAAAATACTCTAATGAGAAAAACTAAATAAAAATTGGTTTGTGGGGGCACCTGGGTGGCTCAGTCAGTTAAGTGTCTGACTCTTGATTGGGGCTCAGGTCATGATCTCAGAGTTGTGAGACTGAGCCCCATGTTGGGCTCTGCACTAAGCATGGAGCCTGCTTAAGATTCTCTTTCTCCTTCTTCCTCTGCCCCTCCCTGCTCACGCTCCCTTTCTCTCTTAAAAAAAAAAATTGGTTTGTGAACATAACTGTTCATATAGTATAAATATACTGACATTTTTGTTTATGAATCAAGTCTTTTGTGAGTTTTATTGATGTAAATTTGCTCCTTCAACTTAATCATGCCTAGATAAACTTAACATAAATCAAGTATTTTGAACTTGGGAATGCAAAGAACAGAACTTGAATTGTATTTATTCAAATGAAAGTAACATTCTAGAGCCTTCAAACAACACCCTCATACTATTTAATACAGCTTGTACTTGCTATATTTGTAGATAACAAACCCAAAAAAACACCTGATATAAGAGATACTAAGTGAAGATTACAGATAAACTTTTTCTAAATTTTTAATCTAGGCCCAAATTTTAAAAAAGGTGCAATTTAGTGGTGATAAGTATAAAACAGTAATTTAGATCCTCAACTAAAATGTAAAAAATCCAAGTGTGACTCCTGGTCTGGAAACCATCCCTGTAGAAAGGATCTGGGAGTTTTGTTGATTATTAGCTTGAAAATCAATCACATGAAAAGAGTTCTTAAAGTGTTAATTTCGTATAAGACTGCAATGATATCAAATAATCCTAGAGTAGAGAAGGCCATAAAAAGTCATTTGGTCCTCTCACTGATCCAGTGCTTGAAAGATGGGACTTTGCATGAGGCAGACATATATGCTTATGTTCAGTTTCACCATCCCCTAACATTGTGACCTTGGGCAAGGTACTTAACTTTTCTTTTCTTCTTGTTTTAATTTATTTATTTTAGAGAGAGAGAGAAAATGTATGTGAGCAGGGAGAGGGGCACAGGGAGAGAGGGAGAGAGAGAGAACCATAAGTGCTGGGCATGGAGCCCGATGCCAGGGCTCGATCTCACAACCCTGAGATCATGACCTGAGCCCAAATCAAGAGTCAGATGCTTGACTGACTAAGCCACCCAGGCGCCCCAACTTAACTTTTCTTATTTCCCTCAGCATAAAAGGGCTTATCAAGTAGGGTTTACTTAATGAGGTGAGTGTAAGAATTATATAAAACAAATCTTAAGCATCTAACCAAAAATTTGTAGCACACCAGACCTTAATATATGGTAATAGTTGCTGTTGCAAGAACACACTCTCAAGTAGCAATTGTCTTCACTTGAACCCTTCTGCAGGCGGGGACCTCTCCTTTCCTTAGTCTTTTTCTTCACCTTGGAATCCCTTGCATGTCTGAGCAGTTCTACCTGTTGACAAGTTCTTCCTTGATTCCCTAATTCTCTTCCACAGGAAAGCGTCTCAGACATAGGTTTTGAAAGGCAAGGCTGTATGGTTATACTATCACTTTTATTTTTTTTTTATCATCCAACACTCTATACTCTAAGAATATTTCATTTTGTTAAGTTTTCTTTTCAGTGTGTTGTCCAGAACAGAATTCACTATCCCAGCCAGAATTTGACCAACGAAGAGTCTAATATCTCCTTTATTTGAAATCTGCATTTATTTTAATTCACTTTAAATCACAAAGTAGTTTTGTGAACAACTGACTTCATAGTGGGTTATTTTCTGACAAGAATTTCTAAGCAATTTTCACATGTTAAAGCACAAATATGCTTTCGGTACTGATATACTTCAATTGTTTTGGACACATTTAGAGCTTTACGTTTATACCTACTAAAATTAATCATTTAGTTCTTGCTTATTACTCTAACATAATTAAAGTCCTTTTGAAATTTCTGTTTTTCTTACCCAAACATTGGTTATCCTTTCCAGCATCTGTCATCAGCTACTTTGTTGATTATAACTTCCACATCATCTGCCAAGCCTAGAAAATACACTGTCTTGGACAGGGTGCAGGATTAAGGTCTTTGGTGGGCCATAAAAAACATCTTCAGCATTTTAATAACAATTCTTAATCATGATACTTTAGATAGAATTGTTTAGTTACCAAGCTACCTATTATTGTCACATTCAATTTATATTGTTTTATGTTTTCAGAAGCCTCCCATTTTACTTTGTCATTATGACATTGGTCATATTATCTATTTTGAGAAGTGTATTTAGTTCTTGGAAGAATATTTCAAGGGAGTCACTGACAAAATCAAGAACGCTTAGAGGAGAAGAACCAAGATTGTAGGACATCTGAAGTTGATGCTGTGAAATAAAGTAGTGATATTTATTTTCACATATGGTTTGGAGATTCTCACTCATTTTATATTGTTTGGCCTCAAAAAGAGAAAATAGGGAACTAGTTCTCTCCATGGTTCTATGGGGTAAAAAATAAATTTGATCCTTGCTGCTCCAGATGAAAGAACAAATTTCAGTGGGTGGAAGTTATTAGGTTGCAGATTTGGTGTTCAGTGTTATAAAGATATTTGCAAAAGTAAAACCATCTACCACAAAATTGGCAAACTTTGGAGATAGTAAGCTCTCCATTACTCATGCCAAACTAGGCACCTGCATAAGGGATTTCTGTGGGTTCTAACATATTTACCTATTGAGCTCTGATGTCTTTCAAGCTTTAAGAATCTGTCTCTAAACAGATTTAGACTCAGGTAGGCGGAATTTACTATGGTATCATAAGTCAGAATTTTATTTGCAAATATCTTCTTTCATTTGGCGGGCTGGTTTTTGTTTTATTTTGTTAATGGCTTCCTTCACCATGCAAAAACTTTTTATTTTGGTGTAGTCCCAAAATAGTAGTGTAGTTTTGGTGTAGTTTAATTCTGCTTTTGTTTCCCTTACCCAAGGAGATATGTCTAGAAAATATTTCTACAGCTAATGTCAAAGAGATTGCTGCCTATGTTTTCTTCTAGGAATTTTATAGTTTCAGGTCTCACATTTAGGTCTTTAATCCACTTTGAGTTTATTTTTGTGTATGTTGTAAGATGGTGGTCCAGTTTCATTCTTCTGCATGTAGCTGTCGGGTTTTCCCAACACCGTTTGTTGAAGAGACTGTGTTTTCCCATTGTATATTCTTGCCTCCTTTGTTGTAGATTAATTGACCATATAATGGTGGGTTTATTTCTGGGAACTTTATTCTGCTCTATTGATCTATGTGTCTATTTTTTGTGCCAATATCATATTGTCTTGATTACAACTTTGTAGTGTATCTTGAAATCTGGGATTGTGATTCCTCCAGCCCTATTCTTTCTCAAGATTTCTTTGGCTATATGGGGTCTTTTGCACAATGAAGGAAATCATCAATGAAACAAAAAGGAAACCTCCTGAGTGGGAGAATGTATTTGCAAATGATATATCTGATAAGGGGTTAATATTCAAAATACAAAAAGAACTTATACAACTCAACACCAAAAAAACCCCCCAAGTGCTCCAATTGAAAAATGGGCAGAGGGCCCAAATAGACATTTTTCCAAAGAAGACACACAGATGGTCAACAGACACATGAAAAGATGCTCAACATCACTGGTCATCAGAGAAATGCAAATCAAAACCAAATGAGACATCACCTTAAACCTATCAGAATGACTAAAATTAAAAAGATAAGAAACAGGTGTTGGCCAGGATGTGGAGAAAGGGGAACCCCCCCCTTACACTGTTGGTGGGAATAGCAAACTGGTACAGCCACTCTGGAAAACAGTATGGAAGTTCCTCAAAAAGTTGAAAATAGAACTATGACCTAGCAACCACACTACTAGGTATTTACCCAAAGAATACAAAAATACCAATTCAAAGGGATACATGCACCCCAATGTTTATAGTAGTATTATCTACAATAGCCAAATTATGGAAACAGCCCAAATATCCATCAACTGATGAATGGATAAAAAAGATATGGTATATATATGCAATGGGATATTACTCAGCCATAAAAAAAGAATGAAATCTTAACCATTTACATTGACATGGAGTTAGAGTATTATGCTAAATGAAGTAAATCAGAGAAAGACAAATACCGTATGATTTCACTCAAGTGTGGAATTTAAGAAACAAAACAAATGAGCATAGGGGAACAAAGAGAGAGAAGCAAACCAATAAACAGACTCTTAACTATAGAGAATAAACTGATGGTTACCAGAGGGGAGGTGGATGGAGGGATGAGTTAAATAGGTGGTGGGGATTAAGGAGTACAGTTGTTATGATGAGCACTGGGTGTTGTATGTAAGTGTTGAAGCACTAAATTTTACAGTTGAAACTAATATTACACTGTACGTTAACTAAGTGAAATTTATTTATTTATTTATTTTAAGGATTTTATTTATTTATTTGAGAGAGAGAATGAGATAGAGAGAGAGAGCATGAGAGGGGGGAGGGTCAGAGGGAGAAGCAGACTCCCCGCTGAGCAGGGAGCCCGATGAGGGACTCGATCCCGGGACTCCGGGATCATGACCTGAACCGAAGGCAGTCACTTAACCAACTGAGCCACCCAGGCACCCAACTAAGTGAAATTTAAATAAAAACTTAAAAAAAGAAACTAAAACAAAAAGGTTATGCACTCCTATGTTTTATTGCAGCATTATTTACAATAGCCCAGATATGGAAGCAACTTAAGTATCCACTGATAAACTAGTAGATAAAGAAGATGTGAGGTACACACACACACACACACACACACACACACACACACGAATATTACACAGCCATGAAATAGATGAGATCATGCTATTTGTAACAGCATGGATGAACCTAGAAAGTATTATGCTAATAATAAATAATTCAGACTGAGAAAGACAAATACCATATTATTTCACTCATATGTGGAATCCAAAAAAAAAGGAATAAACAAGTAGAATCAGATCTATAAATACAGAGAACATACTGGTAGTTGCCAGAGGAGAGGGGGATTGAAGGATGAGAAAAATATGGAATGAATAACTCACAGGAATAAAAGGCACAGCATGGGAAATAATAGTCAGTGATGCTATAATAGTGTTGTGTGGTGGTAGATGGCAGCTACACTTGTGGTGAGCACAGCATAACATACATGTTATGATAAGCTGAATCAACATGTTGTACACCTGAAACTAATGTAACATTTGTGTCAACTATACTCCAACACCTCTCCCCAAAACCTGTGAGGCCATGACCAATGAGTGCTGGATAATGACTACTACCCCCACTAATTTTGCAAAGAAGTATGCAACTATAACATTATATTAGAAAAGAACCAGAAAGAAAAGTTTCTCATTTACCTCAGTAATATTTGGGGGCATTGGTTATTACTCAGAACATAATAAAACTTAGTTTTTTAACAATAATGGAGGTCAGCTTACAGTCAATAACTTACTTCATAAAACAGTGTGCTGCAGTGATGAGCCATGTATTACTGATCAAGGTGGCCCCACATTGATGTATGTTGTTACGCTGAAGGGAAGCTTGCCAAGGCCAGGCAGCCTTCGCTACGATGTCTCCAGACATTATTCTGTTGACTATTAATGGAACAACTCGTTTACCACAACCTGAAGAGATAAGATCATTAAGTTATAAGAAATGTCCCTATAGTCTTTGATTCAGAGTACTTAATAGAGAACTGTAATGTAGTATTGATATTTATCAATATACAAACATGTACAATATTAATATCTGTCCTCTGTGTTTCCTGATATGTTGATGTTTTGCTCATCCCTGTATTTATAGATGTGGATATATATTGCCTACTAAAGCTATGTCAACTATGAAGGGTTGACATATCACAAAGTATGTGTCCTGAGGATTTATGGTATCCATTGTCTAGATGTCCTGGGAGCTCCTACTAAGACTATTGCTTCCCAGTTTCAGATGATCCAGTGTGTTACTTTGACATGAAGTCTTCACCAGAAGAATTCCTCAGACAAGCAATTGTCCATTTGTTGGAACTCCTTCTCCCATATATTTTTCTGCATGACTAGTTCCTAAGGTATGCATGGGTTAATGTATAATGACCAGTTTCTCACACTGCAGGATGGAGAGTTCCATGTTTCCACATAAACATCCCATTCACTATTGGTGGGAATAAATATGTACTGTATTATGTGCATCAGATTAGAGATTACTTTGCTGCTTAGGGTTCCTAAGAATTAAGTCTGTTCCAAACATGGTGCTAAAGTGCTTGCTTCGGCAGCACATATACCAAACATGGTGCTAATAAAGAAAATATGGTAGATTCAATTATTGTTCCAACTAATTGGGTATCAAAAAAGAAAACACATTTTACTGATATTGACTACACTGCATTGTGGCCAGTCATTTTAGAAATCTACCCCACTCTGCCATTACTCTAGTCTAGACTATCATTTTTCTCATCTGGAGGACCGCAACAGCTTTAGTTCATTGCCCTGCTTCTGGTCCTGCTCTCCTAATCTGTTCTCCATACTGAAAACTGACTGATCTTTCTTGTATGTGTAAACCCTTTAGGGACTTCCCATTGTCTTCCAAACAAAGTGAGAATGTTTCAGCATGCTTCTGGTCCTTGATCGCTATTAATCATACCCATTTCCCATGTTCACCAACTCCCATTCAATGTTCCTGTTACACTGACATTTTTCAGTTACAAGAAATGACCATGTTCTTGCTTTTCTGAAGACATTTTTACGTACTACTGCTCCTGCTCAGGGCACTCATTCCACTTGTCACTTGACTTCTCTCTCTCCTGTCTCAGGGATCACTTTCTGACCCTACAAGACCAGGTTAAGCTGACTCTGTGATTGACTGCACTTTCTATGCTGTAGCATTTATCACACTATTTTAACATTTCTTGATTTATTTATGTCTTCCCCTACCTTCAAGCTCTTCATTTTAGAGGAGGGATCGTGTCTTATTTATAGTGGTATATTCACTTTCTGGCACTTGGTAGATGTGAAAAAGATACTCATTGAATGAATGAATAAATGAATAGAAATCTATAGTGTGTTTGCAAGACAGAGAGGCAAATGCATGAATACTTTTGCTCAAATTCACCACCACTTTGATAAAATCTTTCAAAATTTAGGCCACAGTGATATGAAGTGAGTGGGAGGAGCTGCTGTCAACCATGAAAATGAACGTATTAAGCAAATTTTATAGCTCAGTCACAGACAATAGGGTCTGTTTCCTTCCCATTTATCGCTTTCTTGTGATTTTATTTCTCAGCAGAAAGAACATTTCATAGCATTTTTAAAAATTAGAAAAGCAAGCCCATTTACTCCAAGACAGAAATACATAATTTCTTCAAATTGCCCCCAAATTCCTACCATGTAAAATGTTTTTCTTGAACAAAATGAAAAAGATCAGTCTCAGAGTTAGAAAAAAGTATGTCCATCTGCTGTCCAATTGTTACTCTCTTCCAAAGAAAATGTGTGACATGGATGGGAAATTATGAGCTAATACTTGAAGATATGTCCTTTCTCATGTGGAAATTGAACTTGTTTTTATGCGCTAACTAGACTTACATGCTTGGACAGTTAGCTTCCCTGTTGATGAGCTCATTGCTGAAAAACAAAATAGAATATAGAATGATAATGTGATATTCTCTTAGTTGGTCTTTCAGAGTATATTGACTATATATGGACTCTAGACAGTTGAGCATATAATCAGGAGAACAGCATCCCAATAAACAAGATATATATACAATTTTTATAGAGATTCATAAGCAACCTCTAATTAGGTAGATAAATGCTCAAGCAGTAGGTGATTAAGGCACAAATAGTAGATGATTAAAACCCACAAATAGTTTGTATTAATACAGAACAGTGGTTTCCTAATGGTGCAAGATATAGCCTCTTTGGATTTCACTTCAGGAGGTAGAGAAAATGGGGAAAGAGGAAGCCACTAGATGGGGTCTCCAGGCTCAAACCCAGCCTCAGTCAGAGCAGCTCTGCTTTTATCTCTTCTATTTAAGAATTCACATAAGCCTTTCTTTAGTCAAAGGGTTTGGGAATGATAAAAATCTTTGAAACCACCCACATAAACTATATTTAAAATATTTCTAAAACACAGTTACTAAATTATCAAAATTATTTTTCTGAAGAATAAACTATTATGTATTCTTATCCAACATCTGCTGAATGGTAAAGACCAATTATTGGACAGAATCTAAAATTAAGTTCCCTCAATTTCCAACAAAGTTAGGAATCTGACAAAGGACACACGAGCATTTCAACTCAAATTTGTGGAAGGCTATTTGAAAACTGATGATTTTCCAGATAAAAAGTTTACTGAGCACTTTGAGGATAAACTGTTTTACTTATTTCAACCAGTGCCATGGTTCTCAGAATCATACCCCGTCTCTAATTTTACATTGTGCAAAATAAGAATGTTTCTTTCTACTCACCTTCTATAGATCCCACTTGGCAAACTAGTAATGATGAATTCTGTGAAGTGGGAAATTTGAAAATATCCAAATCAAGAATACCCTTACATGCATGCCCAAGTCATTATATGCTGAAGAATCAATTGCTCAGGACAGAGTCTCAGTATTTACTCTATGGAAGAACTCAATTTTCTGTCAAATGTAGTTTTAAAATAGGTAAATTTCTTGTTTCATTTTTTTAAAAACTAATTTAATATGCCCCATAATAGTAATGAATTAAAATGGAAAATAGTATAATGTTAGAATTCTTCCTTAAAACTTCATCTTAGTTTGAGCAAGATGCAAATTGCCCCTTTCCAGGAAGGATACCAGGTTGCTTGAAATGGTTGTGAGTGTAATTGGATTTTTGAGGATTGAATTTTTAGGGAGAATGATTACACTTAGAGTTAAAATACCCCCATGCAAGTAACTAGCTGTTGATATCTAATTTTTACCAAATAATTTTATTTTTCATGTGTAGGAGTGAAGTAAACATTAACACCTTAGTCATGAAAATGACCCTCCAATATACTTTTGAGTTGAGAGTAATTGAGTTGGTAATATTCAGGGGAATACTACATGCTGTAAGTAGCATAAGGGGAACGGGAGCACACATGAACCAAATGTAGGCAGTGAGCAGATCTTTCACAACAATGGTGTTTGTAATGCAAAGAAGCTGATTTTAGCTTTGCTTTGACATGTTGCATCCCATAAAGGATCCATGCCACACAGTTTTTGTTTTTCAAAAGAAACCCCAGAAAACAAACAAAAAAACAAGACCAACCCACAGGTTCTTGACAAATAACAGATAATCTCGGGCTGCAGGGTTATTTCTCAACTTGGTCTAGAATTTTGACAGTTTTCTAGTCTGGGAGCCACCCAGATTGAGAGTTCCTGGAGAGCTGTGATTTTGCCTGTTAAGAATGACCTCACTGATATGAGGAATTATTAATCTCAGGAAACAAACTGAGGGTTGCTGGAGTGGGGGTGGGGTGGGAGGATGGGGTGCCTGGGTGATGGACATTGGGGAGGGTATGTGCTATGGTGAGCGCTGTGAATTGTGCAAGACTGTTGAATCACAGATCTGTACCTCTGAAACAAATAATACATTATATGTTTAAAAAAAAAGAAGGAGAAGATAGCAGGAGGGGAAGAATGAAGGGGGGGAAATCGGAGGGGGAGACGAACCATGAGAGACGATGGACTCTGAAAAACAAACTGAGGGTTCTAGAGGGGAGGGGGGTGGGAGGATGGGTTAGCCTGGTGATGGGTATTTTTTTTTTTTAAAGATTTTATTTATTTAATTGACAGAGAGAGAGAGACAGCGAGAGAGGGAACACAAGCAGGGGGAGTGGGAGAGGGAGAAGCAGGCTTCCCGCTGAGCAGGGAGCCCGATGTGGGGCTCGATCCCAGGACCCTGGGATCATGACCTGAGCCGAAGGCAGTCGCTTAACCAACTGAGCCACCCAGGCGCCCCATGGTGATGGGTATTAAAGAGGGCATGTTCTGCGTGGAGCACTGGGTGTTATACACAAACAATGAATCATGGAACACTACATCCAAAACTAATGATGTAATGTATGGTGATTAACATAGCATAAAAAAAAAAAAAAAGAATTGCCCTGAGGATTCTGCTGAGCTTTTCACTAAATGGGTTTTCCTAAGTGTTAGTAAACACTACTCTTTTTACATTTGGAAATTTGGGAACTTTTAAGGTTCGCTAGCGGGCTCGGAATCTGTGAGGTCCAGCCCGAGGATCTTTCCAGCGCACCTCTCAGCGAGGCTCCTGCAGAGCCAGAAGCTTCCCTCCGCTGGCCCGACCTGTCCCTTCTCATTTCAGGGAAACCCTTTTATCCAGCTTTTTCTACTACCAATCACTCGCATTATGCTTTTAGGTTTCCAAAGCACATGTAGAGCTTACGAGCTTTCTAAATGGTAATGGCCTATGTACGTTTCACCTTTTCTATTTTCTTGTATATTCTCCTGTTATTTCTATGATTACAGGAAGAATCACTGCAGTTTTACGGATGAGAGAATGGAGGTAAAGTCATGGGCCAATTACTTGGGTGGTCTTGAAGTGACTCTGTGGGGTTAGAATTAGGTAACTTTCAAATCAAGTTCTCCATCAGCACCCTGCCTTTTAAGCTAGTAGTCATTCAAATAAGCTATAGCACACAAACTAATCCTGTAAAAAACAAAAAGGCCAGGCAACTGATAACCATTTCGTGCTTCACTGCTGGTTTCAGATAGCTCAAAGCTTTAAAATTTCTGGCAAATTAACTGGTTATTGGAAATCACACACAACACATCATATAATTTATCAGAATTGCCACTATTTCACAACCTTGATTCATTTGTTTCCTCACCTAACAAGGTGGATTAAGCCCTTGACAGGTTCTTCCTTCCTGAGTTGGGAGAGGTCCCCAGCTTTATTCCCGGAGTAGCTGACTCTTCACCAGCAAACTCTTGCCCATCCCATTCCCTCAGATTTTCGCTTCCTGGTCAGGTTTCCTCTTGAAGAATCAGCCAGACCCTTGCAAGGGTAGGGCATCCTGTTTCACCTCTGATATTAATCACTTACTCTGAGACTCTTTTAAGTCTGGTGTCCACTGGAATTTGTAGGAGAAATCTGCACTTGTGTGCCAGAAGTAGGTGTTGCGGAAGCAGCTCAATGCACAAAGGTAAACAGGTTTCTGTCTAGCTGGACTCTGCAGAGCCTTTAATATGCTAATATAAGAGATGAATATCATAGACAGAATTTCTAAGATGTGTTTGACCACAGAACACTTTTTTATATAGAGCCTCTCAAGAAATTAGAGATCTAGATTTGAAGCTTACATCCTTTTATTTATTAGCATCCTCAACTTTTTGTCTCTCTTTTATATTTATAAAGGTGAATTTGCCTACTTCCTAAGAATATAGAAATTAGATGCTGCATGTGAAGGGCATAGAAAAGGGCCTTGACAAAGATTGACTTGCCTTTTTAGAGCAATGATGATGGTATAATGGTTCCAGTGATTTTTTTCTAGCTCATTGATTTTTATTTTTTTATTTTTTATTTTTTTTAAAGATTTTATTTATTTATTCATGAAAGACAGAGAGAGAGAGAGAGAGAGAGGCAGAGGGAGAAGCAGGCTCCCAAGGAGCAGGGAGCCCGACGCGGGACTCGATCCCAGGACCCTGGGATCATGACCTGTAGCTCATTGATTTTTAAAACATTTATAAGGTGGCTTTAGTGGCTCCAAAGCTGCTTTATTATCTTTCCAAATGCCCACAGGAGAAAACGTTAAGAGAAACTTCACTATATACAGAAATCATACATATTTTTTAAACGCAACAAGTGAGTTTATGTTTTAGGAAGGTCCCACCCCAAAAAATAGTTGTTGCTAAATGCTTGGTATTTTCACTAGCTTAGTCACGGAGGCAGTGGCTGGGTCAGATTAAGTCTCTGTTAGTGGTTAAGGTTTGCCTTTATTTAAGGATGAGTGTCAGTCAATACCTACAGGAAAAACCACTTGACAACTAACTTCAGACATGCTTTCATCAGAGAAACATAAAACCTTGAAATGTTACTTTTTTAACTTGAAAAAATTTTCCCATCTAAATTCTAGCTGTTATTTGGAATGGAAGTAATGGCAAGTAAGTTTAAGATTAGACATAAAATGGACCTAATAGAAAACTTCACATCTGATAGAAAGGTGTACTGACTTACCATTAACTTGAACTGAAGAGGCATTTATGGGTAAGGCTCTTGTGTTCCTTATCTTCTGATTTAAGATGCTAAGAATTTTCTCCTTTATTAAGGCCCTTTGCTCAGTAGAGGGGAACTGGAACACCATAATGATATCTGCCTTCACACCATCTTCCTCTGGACTGCAACATACAAGAGAAAGGTGTTTATTGAAAGAATACACTGGGTCTTATACTCTTTCCTGGATTTTAATGCCCCTGAATTTTGCCTTAATTGCTAAAAGTGTCGAGGACTAATCTTCTTACATTGACATTCATCTGTGTGTCACTGTCTGACCCAATATCATTTCGTATGTTCCCTCTTTAAGTTTCCATCATGTTTTGAGTAAATTTTCCCCATTAATTTGAAGGCTTATTACAGCAGTTGGGTAAGACTCAGATATCAACAAAATTTCATCCAAATTGTAAAGTCTGAGGATCAGAAGAAACCTTAGTGGTCTCTTTGGCCAGTCTCTCATGTATCTGATACCAACATCACCTCTAAGCATCCATGGCCCTCTAGCCCCATGCAGTAATTAAAATGATGGGACATTTACTTCCCTCCAGAAGCTGTTTCTCTTTGGTCAGCTCTAATTTTAAGAGAATTCTTCATTTTGAGTTGAAATATGTCTCTTTATATCTTCCATTATGTTAAGCTTAGGTCCACCAGTTGGGACATATATATAAAACATCAGGTTCCTCTCCCACATAAAATATTTGAAGACAGTGACATTCTTGGTTCCTGAGTCTTCTCCACATTAAACATGTCCAGTTCCTTGAATTTTTTTTCATATAAGCAAGTTCAAGACCCTCTACCTGTAGTATTCAGTTTTTCTTTTAAATTAGGAAAACCAAACAATTAAAGGCCTTTAAAAAAAATTGAACTCTATGTATTGATCTGCCATGTCTCTTATTTTTACACTTCAAAAGACCCAAACTCTGAAAAGCACTACAGGCCTAATTCTCCTGAATCCTTTGGCTAAAAACAGGAAATCATATTGATTCTGAAGCATTTTATATATCGTGGTCCATTTAGGCTCTAGAATGTGAAGATACAAATAATCAGAATTTTTTGTCAAATTGGCAAATGTATGACCAAGTAATTTTCCCTCTTGAAACAGAAGGAAAACACTGTTTATGAGGTGGAATTTCTCTGGATCCACACAAAAGCTTATAATGTTATAATTATATTATAATTGTTATAATGACTATAAATTCAAAGGAGTTCACAAAACTATGATAATATTTCTAGAATGTTATGGCAAATCAGAATTTGAAAAGAAAGGATATGAAATCCAGAGAATTTCAGCAAATATGTGCTTTTTATCTCCTAAACATTGTAGAATTTATCCAATTTATATTATAAAATCTTTCTGGAGGTCACTAGCTATTTAGTAAAGTGTAAGGAACTTGGAGTAAGTCTTCCAATAAGGCATTAGTTGGTTGGTGAGAAAAGTTATTATTATTTCCTTTATATAAATCTGTCTGAACATATTCATTTTTTAAGAGGATGCGTCCTATGGGCCCATAGGTTTGCTCCTATTATGTATTTATGTTTTGCTACGTGCTTTCCAAATAACATAGTTGAAACCTCTGAGAAATTTCTGCAATTGATATGAGGCTTCCCCCTCTACCATAACAAACAGAAAATTCATTAAAACAGGAACATCTTTTTTGGGGGGCATGCCTCCCAGGACTTCATTACAGGTAAAACTTATGAACCCATTTTGTAGTCAGCTTTGCCTTCTTATTTTTGAACTGTTACATCTGTCAAGACAAGTTGGTGGGTTTTCCCAAGGCCACAGGTTCTGGTAGTCCTGGGCCTTACAATCAGTTGATGTTTTTTTTTTTTTAAACTTTTTTTTTTTAAGGTTTTTATTTATTTGACAGAGAGCTAGAGAGAGAGCACAAGTAGGCAGAGCGGCAGGCAGAGGGAGAGGGCAAAGCAGGCTCTCTGCTGAGCAGGGAGTCCCATGTGGGGCTCGATCCCAGGACCCTGGAACCATGACCTGAGTCGAAAGCAGTCGCCTAACCAAATGAGCTACCCAGGCACCCCAGTTGATGGGGTTTGAATCCTTATTCTTCACTTGGGGAACTTTGAATGTATCACTCTAACTTCCTTGCATCTTAGTTTTGCATTTAGAAAATGGTGGTCAACCCTGTATCTCCAGACTGCTGTAGAGATACTCTTCATGAGAAACCTTAGGCAAGAGCCAAGCTCATAGAGGCAACAACATAGGAGAGTTCCCATCTCCTTTGCTCTATGTCCCTCCAGGCTGGGAGTCCCACCTTTGCCCAAACATACATACGTCAATCTGACTACTTGGTTCTTGATATAATGCTTGTTCAAGTCTGAATCTATAAATATCTCATCCACCTGTTATTAAAACAAGAGAAAAATTCTGTTAATAAGATATTTTATAATAAGAATATCCTTCTGATTAAATGCTAAAACAATAGAAAGGAGTTTTAAAATGAATAATATTATTTAAACCAACGGTTCTCAGCTTTCACTGAGAAACAATTATTGGCAGATTTTTTTTTTAATTATAGATACGGAAGCCCCTCAGATTTTTGGTTATAATTGATTAGGAGGGAACCAGGAACCTAGGCATTCATATTTTTAAAAACGTCCCCAGGTGATTCTAACGTGCTGACATAGGTAATTTGAAGTATCTTCCTAAAATTCTATAGAAGGTGAAGCCAAAAGACACAGAGCCAAGATATGACACGGAGGGAGGTTTTGAGAGATGGTGAGGAGAACCTTGGTTGAGTACTGGGTTTGAATCCTATCCTGCTGCTCATAAACTGGGCAATGTTGGAAGTTCCTGAACCAATCTGAGCCTCAGTTTCCTAACCTGTAAAAAAAAAGATATTGGTATGCTACTCATAGGGTATAAAGATTAAACACACATAAGATGTTGGGTATACTTTGGTAGTGAACTGTACCCCCAATCCCAGTATTTCAGGTCTCAGATTTTTCTGCAAATCTTTGGCTGTTAGTACGGAGAACCAGCACTGTGAGAGAGCCAATGATTTTTAAATTGTTGATTGTGGGCCCTAGGGTAAATCAGAGAGGAAGAAAGAGTAAGATGGCGTTGCAGATTTAGATCAAAGTTGTATCACTCAGTTTATATCACCAAGGAAGGAGAAGATAAGCTATTGCTTTGGGTTCATTTGCACAGAATTTTAATCGCCTGATCCAGCACCATGCGGCTGTGGCTTACACCTGGATTTTGGCTTGCAGTATCTCCTAGTGACCACTTGGTGGCAACAGTGTCATCTAAACTAAACGTTAAGCATTGCATTTCACATTTGATCATAGATGAACCAAATGTGCAAAAACCATGTCCTAAATCCTTAAGGAAGGGGCAAGAAAACCAACTCATTTTGAAAAATGCAAAAACGTAAAAATAAATGAAAGGCTGTATCAGAAATCAGGGAACAAGTCATGGCTTCCTTAGCACTACCAGGCATTCACAAGTGCTTAATTGGGACACAAAATATTCCTGATCTCCTTTAACCCTTACAATAACTGGTATGGAATAAAAATTATCTTGATTTGTATTTTATTTGAAGAGGAAACTTGGAGGCATTAGGTAAATTTCCCTGGCATCATGTGGATCATAACTGGGATTTAAATTTAGTTCTTCTGTTTGCAGGGCCATCTCTTCTCATTAACTGCACAGCCTCCTTGTTAAATGTGATGTACATTTTGCTTCAAGTTCTTTCACAGAACACAAAACAATAAGTCATAAAATAAACGGTTGGTTGACTTAAAGTATAGAACTAGTCAAGATATAATTGGTCATATACTTGTAAACCTGAAGATCAAAGGCAGTATTTAGAAAGCAGAAAAATTGCTAGTATCCAAAATATACACACTTATTTGTATTTACATAAGAGCTTAAATGGGCTGAGGAGATGAGTTTATAAGCTAGAAATGGAACTGTTTTGGAAGGTGTGTTTTTGCAGGAGTGGCATTGTAATGATTTCTCTTGTTACACACAGCTAGTCTTATTACTCAGTATCTGGGGGAAATCTGAAAGGAAAGAAATGGCAAAAAAACAAAACAAAACAAAACAAAAAACTCAGGCCAACCCAACAGGAAGAAAGGTGTCAAATATTAAAGGGAAGAAAAGTAAATAACAGTTGAGTATTTATAGAAGTTTGGTTTGTAATTATCCTCTGAAATTCCACCCACAATTGTTCCCTTGGCTGTCTGTAACTTGTTGGTGAAGGTATTAGATTAAGTTTTTGACTTTAGATGACATCATTCTAAATTCACATGGCTGCTAAGAAAAATATCTGTGCCCAGCATCAATCCGGTCTTGAGATGGTTTCAATTGTCTGGGCAGAATATCATAAGAAGAATCTAAGTATAAGTGGCTTCAGTAATCATAGAGATAAAGTTTTCTTCTTTCTAATACAAATCTCAGAACCCTGCCCCTATTAAGCCTCTTTGCTTAGCCTGGGGTGAGGCCCAGGATCTCCAGGTGATCAGGTAGCCTGAGGAAAACACTGAGAAATGCTGAGGCACAGGGACTGGCTAAAAGGGTTTCTACAATAAAGGAATTTTCAGCAGGGGGAATCAGAGAAAACAGGAAACTAAACTCTTGCTGAATGGATTTTATGTATGAACTAGCTTTCTAGAGACCCTAAAATAATGATTAATCATTAATCATGATTACTCTTTCCTAGAAGATGAAGGTTTACCTCATAAGAAACATTCTGCTGATACTTTGGCATTTTAAATTTTTAGAAGTTTTAGAAGAACACTTTTTTCTAAACTGTGTGCCAGTTTGTTATAAATGTATTATTTACACAAACTAATAGAGATACTGATTTATAAATCTAGCCCACCTCCCATTCTGGGGCATTTGCCAAGTTCACTAGTTGTAATTAGTCACTTAACATTAAACACAGACCCCACCCCTTTCAGGGTAGTACCTCTTTATGTCTGATGATTTTGAAATGCTGGAAGTTGCACTGAGATTAAGTTCTAAAAGGGCAATTGAAAGTTAGTGTAGTGTTTAATAAAAGAGTTAGGGAGAGGCTGTTAACTCCAACAAACAGACGCGCCCAACCATTCGGCTCTCATTCCTGAACAAAATCTGTTTACACATGTCACCCGCTTTTCACCATCAGAGGCTTCCCAACTTGGCTTCTCTCTCAGCAATCTTTAGTATTTACGTAGGAGGTATTTCAGGGCTGAGACTGCAAACTTCAGATAGATATGCCACCAAAGATCGGCCAATGGAATATAAAAACAGTTTCTTCCAATGTTACACCAGATGAGCCCTGAGAATTAAAGGACCCACAAACATGCCATGAAGAAGACTTCAGATTCTGTTGCTTTCTCCTAATTATAAGAGTAGCACACAAAGAACAGTATGAGATACTTTAAAAAAAAAAAAACAACACACGTTTAGCCTTAAATAAGACTTAACTGAAATTAGGGGCTCACCTCAAGGTAAAAATAGAGAATAAAGCACAATTCATTTTTGCCTCTGGTCACAGAGTCAGATATTCAAGGACTTCACCTTCTGTTGCCCATCTTCCATCCCGTCTGGTCTTCAACACCACCTGTACCTGTCAGGCTTAACCCTTATTTCCTGTGTACTTGCCCTTTACAGGCTATTCCTTGAATCTGTAACACCCTCCCCCAATCTACTGGCTCTGCTTTTCTGAGCCACAACTCTCCTTCAATGTCTATTTCAGATAATATCTTCTTTGTGGTTATTCCTTGAACCTCAGAGTAATCTTTCCTCTTTCTGTCTTAATTTTTCTTATCCCTACTATACCTTCTACTTCCTCCTTAATATAGTTATTTATGCAAGTGTATTATCTCCTTTACTACACTGTACACCTGTTAGCAGTAAGTGTTGATTTTTTCATGCTCTACAATATGTAGGAATACAGCATGTTTTGTTGAATGAATGAATGAATGAAAGAAAGCGAAAATTTATCAGAAAGTCTTGCATTTACCAGGAAAGTTGCAAGAGTTTTTAATGAGCTTTTCATCAGATTTAGACCAATGCTTCTGGAGAAAAAAGCAAACTATGAATTACTGATGGGAATTCTTTCTCCTTTTGGACATTTTCAGGAAATTTGATTGCTTATGGAAAGCCCCTCCATGGTAACAATGCGATAGATATAATAGTAGGAATAGTCATCATAGTTGTGTATCCTGTGCACCAAGCACTAACTCCATTGTATTTCTGAGCTCATTTGCTTTTCTCATCAACCCTCTGAGGTGAATACTATTATTGTCTGCATTATATAGATTACTTGCTCAAGGTGACAAAGCAGTGAGCCAGCTGACCTTGGGATAAGCACACATGTGGGTTTTTACTAAAAACTCCTACCCACTGATGTGTAGTAGGCAGCATGTAAGGGGTGAAGAAACTGTTTTATCCCTCTCCAAAGGCAGTCTGTTTTCTTTGCCTTCTAAATATGAGAACTATAATCTTGATAGTTCTTATTGCAATTTTTAAAGTTGTATCTATTTAAAATTCTAGATTTTTGGCAAAACAAGAATCAAAAAGTCAGTTATGAATAATTTTTCTAAACCTACATAGAGTGTGGCCAACCCAAACGGTGATGGTGTTTATGGGATTCTGAAGCTTGGTGGCCTTCTGGGTATTAAGTCACTTTGGGTTCACAAAAGTTCTTTAAAAAAAAACAACAACTGCCACAGCTTTGAACCCAGTGCTGTGTCTATTAGAGATGACAGTTGGATCCAATGTCATGTGGGGTGTGTGGGTGGAGTGCCATGGAAGTGTGACTTTCTCATTATTCTAAACCAGGAGGTAATGATATCAACAAATGGGTTGTGACATTATGTGATATTAGCAAAGTTATTTCTTTGATTGCACTAGTCCTTCTCAGTGTTTCCTTGTATGACATCAGAAAGAAACAGATGGACATCTGTAACTGTCTGATCACACATAGCAAGTAGCAATATATTGGATAACCTTATCCCAAATTGGTTTATATTCCTGAGATTGAGAGCCAAAGTAAATTCAATAAATTGAAATGTTTGCAATTAAGGTGGTAAAGGATAAATTATTAACTTTCAGCATAACACAAAGGCTTAGATCTCTGAATTACCATTTTAGAAGAGGAATATATATAATTTGTGTCTTTTTAAAGTTGTACTAAAGATATTTAAACTAGAATGCCTGAGGCAAAGAAAGGTCATTTTTTAGAAGGTTCCTGTGCTCTCCAGGTGTGTTGTCCTGGAAGTCTCTAAATTATTCGGTGAGAAGGAGAAAGAGAGAGAGAGGATATGAATCATTACTCTTAGAATCTCTTATACTTCCTGAATGATGAACAATAATCTAAGTAGATTATCCAGTAAAGACTGTGCTATAG